GCGAGAACATGGCGTTCTCTTCTCGTTCTGGCAGGATCAATAGTCAATTAGCGTTTCTTGATAGCTTTGTTGTGTCGAGGACCTGGAAACAGCGCCAGAGAGACCAACAGCGGCCAAACCATCAATGCGTCGTAATTCGAAAGACGTTCCTCTTAGAAAAATCAACACAAATTGTTGTGAAACAAACTAGAAGATTCTCGGGTTCAAGTCCCGGCGACTTTATGCTCGGAAATCAGTTACGGTATTGAATATGTGCACAGTGAACCAGTAGAAATATTAATAATTGACTTTCTCCAGGGATTTAAAATAAGTCAGGATAGGCGCATGGCCTATGCAAGGAGAAATATCGAAAAATGTAGCAGATTCGATAAATGGAAATCCTTATATAGTTAATTGGAAACGATAGGTCATCGGGCAAGAGAGGATATAAGGGAACACCCTTATATCCTCTCCTTTTATAAATAAAATACCAAACGCTAGAGCAAAGAAAGAAAGAAAGAAAGAAAGAAAGAAAGAAAGAAAGAAAGAAAGAAAGAAAGAAAGAAAGAAAGAAAGAAAGAAAGAAAGAAAGAAAGAAAGAAAGAAAGAAAGAAAGAAAGAAATTCTACTCATGAAATAATATGACCATGCGATATACAATTTGGTCATTCATGTGTAGCAAATTCCATCCGCGTTTCAATTATTTTAAAACAAAACTTAACTTTTTGCTTTTCAGTATTTTATTCAGATTCCCACTGACGTGTTCATTATTCATACTGTCTTTTTTGGAGCTGCAGTGACTGTGCCCAACAGCATCTCTGTTGCTGGAGTTTATAAATCTGAATTAAGACAGGCGGAAGTACACTTTCAGCGAAATTGGGGTCATCACACTGACCTTCACTGGACAAAACAGAAAACAGCGGAGAAATGTTTACTTGACTGGTATTTAGTCGAAGCCCCGTAGAAAGCAACAACAAAAACATTTACTATTCCTAGGGCAGAAGTTTCTTTTACACTGACGATGTAATATACCTGTTGGTAGTATATTTGTATATTAACATACTATACATACATACAGTAAATGCGTTATATTTAATGATAATTAGATGTAAGTATATCACGCTGACTAATTTCATGCATTATGCAGGGCGTATTTTAATGGCAGACTGACTTGGAAGACATACTTCATATTTTTACTGTAAATGTTTTTAGCTTTTCTGTAATGCCACTTCGATACGGTCTTATGTTGTGTAAATTGTAAGGCTGTACAGTATTTAGCAATATAAATAATAAACTTTAC